TCAACTTGTTTACACTTTTACGGCGATGATGACGTGGGTAAACAATGGATGACGTCACTGAAGATTGTGATAATTCAGAACTAATGATTGGTGTTAAAAGAATCATTCATAATATGGTATACTGACAAAAGAAATGATACGTACGTTATATAAAGGAGGAGTTCGTTGTAATTACTGCGAACCAATTAGTTTACAATGATCATAAATAATAATACAAATAATAATAATAGTCACAGCCTGTTAAGAGAAAACAGGATGTTGACGAAAATTTAATACTGGTGTCGCAACAGAGTATGAGGAGGGGGGCAGGAGGGGAGAGACAGTAGAAGGAGGGGGCAGGAGGGACAGTAGTGAGGGAGAGGGGCAGGGGAGGGAGAGACAGTAAAGGAGGGGCAAAGGAGGGAGAGACAGTAGTGAGGGAGGCGGGGCAGTGAGGGAGAGACAGGTATGAGGGGCAGTGGAGGAGAGACAGTAGTGTGGAGGGAGGCGGGGCAGTGAGGGAGAAGGCAGGGAGGGGCAGGAGGGAGAGACAGTAGGAGGGAAAGGGCAGGAGGGAGAGACAGTAGTATGAGGGGCAGGAGGGAGAGACAGAAAAGAGGGAGGCGGGGCAGTGAGGGAGAGACAGTAGATGAGGGGCAGCGAGGGAGAGACAGTAGTATGGAGGGGAGAAGGGCAGTGAGGGGAGAGACAGTAGGAGGGAGGGGCAGTGAGGGAGAGACAGACAGAGTGTGAGGGAGGCGGGGGCAGGAGGGAGAGACAGTAGTATGAGGGGCAAGGAGGGAGAGACAGAAAGGGAGGGGAGGTGAGGGCAGTGAGGGGAGACAGTAGTATGAGGGGGCAATGAGGGAGAGACAGTAGTAAGGAGGGAGGTGGGGGCAGGAGGGGAGAGACAGAAAAGGAGGGGCAGCGAGGGAGAGACAGTAGTGTGAGGGAGGCGGGGGCAGTGAGAGAGACAGTAGTATGAGGGGCAGGAGGGAGAGACAGTAGTATGAGGGGAGGGGGAGACAGAGTATGAGGCAGGAGAGATAAAGGACAGTAGGAGAGACAAAGGAGTGTGAGGGGAGGCAGAGACAGAGAAGGAGGGGCAGGAGAGACAGTATAAAGGTGGAGGAAGGGAGAGAGAGGTGGCTGAGGGCAACAGTGAGTGGCAGTGAGGAGAGAGACAGAGTATGAAGGAAGGAGGAGAGACAGTATTGAGGGCAGTGAGGAGGAGACAGAGGGGCAAAGGAGGGGAGAGAAGGAGGGAGGCAGGAGGCAGAGAGAAGGCAGTGAGGAGGCACAGAGGCAGTAGTAAGGGCAGAGAGAGACAGTAGAGGCAAGGAGGGAGAGAGTAGTAGGAGGCAGGAGGGGAGAGACAGTAGTAAGGAGGAGGCAGGGAGAGAGACAGTAGGAGGGCAAAGGAGGAGAGACAGGAAGGAGGGAGGTGGGGCAGGAGGAGAGACAGTAGTATGAGGCAAGGAGGAGAGACAGTAGTATGAGGGAAGGCAGGAGGGGAGACAGTAGTATGAGGGCACAAGGAGAGACAGCATGAGGCAGAGGAGGCAGAGACAGTAAGGGAGAGAGACAGTATGAGGGGCAAGGGAGAGACAGTAAGAGACAGAGAAGGAGGGGAGGGAGGAGAGACAGTAAGAGGGCAAAGGAGGGAGAGACAGAAGGAGGGGAAGAGGGGGAGACAGTAGGGAGGGAGGTAGGGCAGAGGAAGGAAGCAGAGTGGAGAGGACAGAAAGAAGGAGGGGCAGTGAGGGGGAGAAAGAGTATGGAGAAGCAGTGAGGGGAGAGACAGAGATGAGGGGCAGTGAGGGAGAGACAGTAGGAGGAGGCAGGAGGGAGAGACAGAAGGATGAGGGGGGCAGTAGAGACAGAGACAAAGGTGAGACAGAAGGGCAGGAGGAGGCAAGGAGGAGAGACAGTAGTATGAGGGCAGGGAGAGACAGTAAGGAGGGGGGAGGGAGAGACAGTAAGGAGAGAAGAAGGGGGAGAGGAGGGAGACAGTAGCATGAGAGACAGGAGGGAGGAGGCGAAAGGAGGAGACAGTGGTATAAAGGCAGTAAAGGGAGGAGACAGCAGGGTAAGGCAGTGAGGGAGAGACAGTAGTATGAGGAATGAGGAGAGACACATAGTATGAAGAGGCAGGAGGGACAGTATGAGGCAAGGAGGAGACAGGGCAGGAGGGGAGAGACAGTAGTATGAGGGGCAAAGGGAGAGACAGTAGAATGAGGGATAGGGCAAGGGAGGGGAGAGACAGTGGTATGGGGAGGAGGGGAGAGACAGTAGCATGAGGAGGGCAGTAAAGGGAGGAGAGACAGTAATGAGGAGGCAAGGAGGAGACATGGTATGGGGGTGAGGAGAGAAGCATGAGGGCAGGAGGAGACAGGATAATGAGGATGTGAAGAAAGGAGGGACAGGCATGGGGCAGAGAGGAGGACAGTAGCATAAAGGGCAGTAAAGGTGAGGAGACAGTAAAGGGAGAGACAGCAGAAGGGAGGAGAGACAGCAGTATGGGGGGCAGTGAGAGAGACAGTAGTATGGAGGGAGGGGGGCAGTGAGGGGAGAGACAGGAAGGGGGCAGAGGGAGAGACAGTAGTATGAGGGGCAGGAGGGAGAGACAGGAGTATGAGGGAGGGGGGGCAGTGAGGGAGAGACAGTGGTATGGGGGCAGGAGGGAGAGACAGTAGTATGGAGGAGAGACAGTAGTATGGGGGGGGCAGTGGAGGGAGAGACAATTATGGAATGAGGAGAGGTAGTATGGAAGGTGAGGGGAGAGACAGTAGTATGGGGGCAAGAGGAGAGACAGTAGTATAAAGGGGTGAGGAGGACAGTAGTATGGGAGAGGGGGCAAGGAGGGGAGAGACAGTGGTATGGGGGCAGTGAGGGGAGAGAGATAGTAAAGTGGGGGCAGTGGGGAGAGACAGTAGCATGGGGGGGCAGTGAGGGAGGAGACAGTAGTATGGGGGGCAGAATGGGAAGGAGGAGACAGTAGTATGGGGGGCAGTGAGAGAGACAGTAGTATGAGGGGCAGTGAAGGAGACAGTAGTATGGGGGCAGGGAGGGAGAGACAGAGTATGGATGGGGCAGTGAGGAGAGACAGTAGCAGTGAGGAGAGACAGTATAAGGGGCAGGAGGAGAGACAGTAGTATGGGGGCTGGGGAGGAGAGACAGTAGGGCATGGGGCAGTGAGGGAGAGACAGCAAAGGTGAGGGAGAGAAGGGAGTGGGGCAGTGAAGGAGAGACAGTAGTATGGGGGGGGCAGTGAGGAGAGACAGGGCAGAAGAGGGAGACAGCAGTAAGAGGAGGGAGAGACAGTAGTATAAAGCAGTGAGGAGAGACAGTGGGTAGGGGGGCAGTGAGGGGAGAGACAGTAGGCGGGGGGCAGTGTGGGGAGACAGTGGTATGGGGGCAGTGAGGAGACTGTAGTATGGGGGCAGTGAGGAGAGACAGTAGTAGTGTTTATTTTGTGCATCACAAACATTAACATTAGATCGCTTCTTGGCTGTATGGCTGAGGCCTTTTGTCGACTGCAAGGACGATGAAGCAGTCGTTTGTGTATGTCATATTCATGCCTGTGTGTGTGTGTGTGTGTGTGTGGTGTGTGTGTGTGTGTGTGTACAATAATAACACAATAATACTTAACGGTTTATTGAAAAGTTCTGCAGTCCAAAGGCTGAAAATACATTGGACATAAAATGATATTACATACACGGTGATTAACAAAGCCACTATAGAGAAAAGGTAAAGGAAACATATAGTGAACATACAGATAATGTAGAGTGAACAGCAAACACAAGTTGTAAAATTTTCCCAGATGGTGTTAGAGGGACCTCACGTGGTGCAATACCTCACAGATGGTGTTGTGAGGACCTGCGGGTGTAGTAATTCTCACAGATGGTGTTATGAACGAACTTGATGCGGTGCACCTCACAGATGGTGTTATGAGAATACGTGGTGTAATACTCATCACGGTGTTAGGAGGAACCACGTGGTGGCATTTCACAGCTGGTGTTATGAGTACCGGACGGTGTAGCAATCACAGATGGTGTTATGAGGACCCTACGTGAGTAGTACCTTCACAGATGTTGTCGAGGCCGATGTGGTAGTACTACAAAGTTATGAGGACCTTACGGTGTAGTAATTCTCACAGATGGTGTATGAGGGCATGACGTGGTGTAAATTCACAGATGGTGCGAGGGGCCTGACGTGGTAGTAATCTTCACAGATGGTGTATGGGTGGCCTGACGTGGTACCTCACAGATGAAAGGGGCTCCGTAGTAATTCTCGCAGATGGTGTTACGAGGGCCTGACGGTGTAGTACTCTCACAGATGACATATGAGGCCTCACGTGGTGGTAGTAACTCCCTCACAGATGGTGTTATGAGGGCATCACGTGGTAGTAATGACCTCTCACAGATGGTGTTATGAGGACCACACGTGTAGTAATACCCCACAGATGGTGTTATGGGGGGCCTGGACGTGGTGTAGTACCTCGCAGATGGAGCAGAGGGCCTGACGTGTGCAAATCCTCACAGATGGTAAAGAGGGACCACGTGTAGTAATTCCACAGATGGTAAGCATGAGGACCACGCGGTGTAGTAATTCTCAAAGATGGTGTTATATGAGCCAGGTGTGGTCCCAGGCCTTCCTATCGGAGAGACGGATTAACCCATCGCTGGTTGTTGTTGGGTCTCACGGCAGTTATCACTGGACCTGGGACCTCACTGTGGAAGTGAACTGGGCACGACTTAAGCACCACACTGTTCACCACTGTTCACCCACTGTTCAACACTGGTTCTATTTTCTAAATGAAATTGAATCACCTTACTAGAAAGGTTACTGCAGCTAGCTCCTGCCTCAAAATTACAGATATGGCAAGAGCTATTTGTAAACGGGGTTATCCATTCAGACCGAGTTACAGAATACCAAGGAAAAACTCGAAATAGAGCACGAAATTTTGAAATTAAAGGAAGAAAAAAGATGAAGGAAGAAGACAGGAGGGAAAGCCGTGAATGGCGAAGAAGGTTGTAGGAGAGGGCTACCAAGTTGGTGGGTAAGCATACAAGGGATACAAACAATGACAACAACAGCGCAAAAAGCAACCTCGTCAGTCCCTTGATATTTAGAAATGGACGTTAGTACAAACAGAGACAGGGCTGACAAGGAAAGTATAATAAATTTATCCTTGGTGACCAACAGGTAAGGTACTTGGACAGAGCCTCTGTAAAAAAAAAAATAGAATGAGGGTGTGTTTGCCAGGGCTGGGGATATAGTTGACAGGATGGACAATATCTTGCCTGGTATCGGGAACAAAAACCCATTATCTGCCCAGTGCAGGACAATGATATCCAGTGTAGAGTGAAGAGCCTTGATAAGCTCAAGACAGCTATAGATCGTATTAGGACTATGAGGGATCACTATATATGTGGGTGTCCTGCCTAGAAGGAGAGTTAGCAAATGAATGGGTTGCCGCGGGCAGTTGGTGTCAACGGTCAAGTCTGACGATATTGCAATGTAATATCAGCCCCATTCGGATGGAATCTCGGCCACAGAAGGGACCTTTTATCCTAGGATGGGTGCACCTGTCTCGGAGGGGGGTAAACACCCTGGCTGTCTTCAGAGGGGCAGTTCAAAAAGACACGAAGTTTTTAAAACTAAGGGACACATGAGGCAACGGGGTGGAGGAGACCAGGGAGAAACAAAGTGAAGATTACAGGAAAAATGACGCAGTAAAGGGAGGATTCAGAACACAACCAACTTAAATGTCTACTTGCGAACAGTAGAAGTATGAGAAACAAAATAGATGAAATATTAGGCTTTAGTATGTACCGAAAAAATCGACAATTAGTATTCACTGAAACATGGATCAACGCAGATTAATCGTGAGTTAATGGGTCGAATACCAAATTGCCAAATTGTTCCATACCAATAAGGCATCTGCAGAAAGGAGGCAGAGTAGCAATTCATGTCAGGGACAACTGAAGTGGAAATAAATAAGGAATTAAAAACCGAGGAATATGAAACAATGGACAGAATTAATCGATGGTAGAAAATTAATACAGGAGTAATATATAGACCCTCACCTTGATAGAGTCAATGAGAGACTTATCTGGGATGAATGCAGGCTTCATACACAACAAAGCCTGTATAGTAGAAGACAATTTTAAGGCAATAGATTGACCGACCATGCAAACCCCAGAATCAGAAACCCTTTAAACCCATCCATGACTGCTTTTAGTGCCAACACAAACTGAACTCACCCGGGGAGTAATATACTATTTAAGTTCTAAATGAACAGAGAAACCCCATTAGCAAACGCCGAGGTTAGAACCAACTGCAAAACAGCCATCACAAAGAAACTAAGATTCTCGCCAGATTTTCAGGGCAGACGTAACGAAAATTCACCAAGGTACCACAGATTCAGAAGGCAAACCTGACTGTTTAAAGAGGCAAAGTGAGAGAAGGGGTGTCTCGCTTGGCGAAACCCACAGATGACAACTTACCTGATAACCAGATCATGACAGAAGCCGAAAGTTCCCACGACAACTTAAATAATGAGCATTTAATGCACAGGCAGAAACATACCATACAAAAAAACTCAGACCAGACAACAATGACCCTAAAATGGATAAATACTATTTAAAGACCAATACAACAAAGGAAGGCTATAGACAGAAGGATAAATCAGGCGAAATTTACCCCAGGATTATTTATGTATTATGCAAAGTAGGGTTAAAAACCGAGATAAGGAAAGCTAAGAGAACAATGATAAGGATAGCAAGGAAAAAGACAAAACCCAAAGCATCTACCAATATCAAACTAAAACAAGAAAAAGATTGACCATCGGGGCGAAATTAACAAATATTAACAATCTCACCACCGAAAATGTTATACCCATAATAATTCAAAGATAGCTAAAAAGTCACCTGGTCCCAAGAGATAAAAGTTTGCAGAGTATTAAAGGAATGTAAGGAAGAGCTTAGTATGCTCTCAGCAAAGCAGTGAACATGTCCTTAAAAACAGGTGTAGTACCAGAATCCTGGATGATAGCGAATGTAATACCGATTAAGAAGGACGATTGCTCTAACTACTGTCCAATCAGCCTAACATCCAGTAGGTACTACGGAATTATCTTTAAAATCTATTCGAAAACCATCTGGAGAAGCACAAGCGACAATCGATTCCAAACATGGCTTGCCAAGCCGGCGTTTATGCTCAACTCAATCTATTAACATTCTTTCATCAAGCCGAACAGTGGACCTAAGGGCACAATTATGATGTGTATATCTCGACTTTAGCAAAGCCTTCGACAGAAGTCTCCCCACGAAAGACTATTAGAAGAGTAGAAGCACATGGCATCAAAGGTAATATCCTTGAATGGATTAGGGCGTGGTTGCAGGACAGAAACAGCGAAAGGAGCATTAACGGCACTAAGTCCCATTGAGCAACGTCACTAGTGAGTTCTCAAGGCTCAGCATTTGGACCATTATTATTTATTATATAAATAAAACGACATAGATATGGCATAGACAGCAACATAAGTAAATTTGCTGATGACATTCAAAATAGGACGAAGCATAAATCCGACGAGACTCAGCAAAACTAAGGAAGATCTAAAAAATTTCGAATGGTCTGGAAAAATGGCAGATGAAATTCAATGTGACAAATGTAAGCACCAGTATAGAGATGTAAACAGGAAACCAGATACCAGATGAACAACGATGCCATTGAGAAATCCGACTAAGTAGATAGATTTAGAGTAATGATAACCAGAACTTTAAGCCAAGCAAACAAATGTGTTTTGCTCGTAACAAGGCTAATAAAGTACTTGGGTTCATACAAAGGAGTGTTAGTTACAAGACTAAGCGAGGTCATCCTAAAACTGTATCTTATGCGAGACCACACCTGGATTACGAGTTCAGTTCTGGTCACATTACAGAATGGATACGGGAACTCGGAAAGATCAGAGAAGAATGAAGACTAGTCCCGGCATTAGGAACCTTGAGTATAGAGACAGGTTAGCATCTAATGTGCACTCGCAGGATGAGAGCGAGGGGCACCTGATAGAGGTGTATAAATGGAAGTCAGGGTAAACAAAGGACATTATAAAGGTACTCAAACTATCCAACCAGGAGCGAACTCGAACAATGGTTTTAAATTAGACAACTTAGATTTAGGCCCAAATAGGTAAACACTGGTTTGGAAACAGAGAGTGGATGAATGGGAACAAGTTACCAACATCATCATTAACTCAATACGCTAATAGCTTCAAACATAGGTTGGATGCTTATATGAGCAATAAGGGTTGGGTGTAAACGGACTGCACAGTATGGGCCAATTGGCCTGCAGTTTCTCCATTCTTATGTTCTTATGTTCTTATGTTAACTTCTGGCGAGAACTTGTTGATATTCCTGTAGGGAGGAGGGTTCAGAGAGGTAGTTGGTAGGGGCCAATCCAAGCTGACTCTGGCGGCTCCCCGAGGAGCGCCAGGTACGCCAAGACCCTTCGGTGTCAAGGATGTAGTGTGTGTGTGTGTGTGGTTTTATGTGCGTTATGTGTGTGTGTGTTTTGTAAAAGATGTTCATAGTGAGTTTATACGAGCCAAAAATCAGTAGTAGCAGCAGAGAGCAGGACCAGGATCAGCAGGGTAGGAACAGTAGGACCAGGAACAGCAGGAGCATAAGAACATAAGAATGGAGGAGAAACTGCAGCGGGCCTATTGGCCCATAATACTGGCAGTCCTGCTACACCCAACCCCATGCTCATATAAGCATCCAACCTATGTTTGAAGCTATCCAGCATATTCGAAAGTTAATGACGATGTTTGGTAATCTTGTTCCATTTATCCACTACTCTGTTTCCAAACCAGTGTTTACCTTATTTTCGCGCCTAAATCTAAATTTGTCTAATTTAAAACCATTGTTACGAAGTTCCTTCCTGGTTGGATAGTTTGAGTACCTTTTGTTATGTCCCTTTGTTTAGCCCCTGCTTCCATTTATACACCTTGTCAAGTCGCCTCGCTTACTTCTCGAGGGAAATAAAGATGTTTATTCTGTCTCTATACCAAGGTTCCCACGCTCGGATTAGTCTTATTATTCTCCTGAATTCTTTTTCCAAGGATTCTATATTCATTCTAATACGGTGACCAGAACTGAACTGCGTGAATCCAGGAGAGGTTTCACAAGCACAAGATATAATCTAAGATGACCTTGCAGACTTGTAACCAACACTTTGTATGAGCCCAAGTACCTTATTAGTCTTGTTATGAGCAAAAACACATTGTTTACTTGGCTTAAGGTTCCTACTATCATTATTCTCCTAAACTCTCGCAGTCAGATTTCAATGCAGTCAAGGTTCATCGGTAACTGGTTTCCGTTTAACATCTCCTATACTGAGTACTTTACATTTGTCCACGTTGAATTTCATCTGCCATTGAATTCATTCAAAAATTTGTTTAGATCCTCCTGTAGTTTTGTGGAGTCCTCACATTTAATAACACGCCTATTTTAGTGTCATCAGCAAATTTACTTATGTTGCTGTCTATGCCGATATCCATGTCGTTTATGTATATAATAAATAATAATGGTCCAAGTACTGAGCCTTGGGGAACTCCACTAGTGACGTTGTTCAATGGGACTTATTGTCATACGCTCACCGCTGTTTCCTCGTCCTGTAACCACGCCTCTAATCCATTTAAGGATATTACCTTTGATGCCATGTGCTTCTACCTTTCTAATTAGTCTTTGTGGGGACTCTGTCGAAGGCTTTGCTAAAGTCGATATACCACATCATAATTGTGCTCCTCGTCCACCGTTTCTGAAAACTGATGAAAAGAATGTTAATAGATTAGTTAGACATGAACGCCCTCTGAAGCTCATGCTAAATCATTGATCAATTGGTGCTTCTCCAGGTGATTTCTGAATAGAGTTTCAAATGATTGCCTCCAGTAATTTGCTTACTATTGATGTTAGACTGATTGACGGTAGTTAGAAGATAGTGATCTATCCCCTTCTAAAAATCGGTATTACATTCGCTATCCTCCAAGATTCTGGCACTACACCTGTTTTTAAGGACATGTTAAACAACTTTGCTTAGGGCATACTCAAGCTCTTCCTTACATTCCTTTAATACTCTGGCAAATATCTCATCGGGACCAGGTGACTATTAGGCTTTAGTTTGTCTATTTGTTACTAACATCGTTACTAGTCACTACTATCTCTTAATTTGATTTCTTCACTATCTCTGAACAGAGTTGGTGCCTCGGTATCATGTTTAAATTTTCGGTAGTGAAAAACTGTTGAAAAATATTTATTCAGATTGCTTATTTCCCGTCGTTATCAGTTAGCTCGCCGGTATGTGACCGTATTGGTCCAATCTTTTCTCGTGTTTTAGTTTTGGTACCACCTGTGAGTCACCAACAATTAAAGTTTTTGTACCTTTCTTGTCAGCCCTGTCCCTGACTGTACCAACGTCCACCTGTCTATCAAGGGACTGAACGAGTTATACACTTAGCTGTTGTTGTCGTTGTTGTCGTATCCTTGGTGTGTTTTTCACCACCAGTTTGGTAGTCCCTCTCCTCACAACCTTCCATTCATTCACCTGAGTTTTCGTCACAGACGGGCTTTTCCCTTGTCTCGCTTTCATCCTCGCCATCTCTTCCTTTAATTTCAAGATCTCTAACTTGGCTTCTCCAACTCGGCCCACAAAAGGACCACAGGAACAGCAGAGAACAGACCAGGAACAGCAGAGAACAGGACCAGGAACAGCAGAGAACAGGACCAGGAACAGCAGAGAGCAGGACCAGGAACAGCAGAGAACAGGACTAGGAAAGCAGAGAGCAGGACTAGGAACAGCAGAGAACAGGACCAGGAACAGCAGAGAGCAGGACCAGGAACAGCAGAGAGCAGGACCAGAAACAGCAGAGAACAGGACCAGGAACAGCAGAGAGCAGGACTAGGAACAGCAGTGTAGCAGCAGAGAGCAGGACTAGGAACAGCAGTGTAGCAGCAGAGAGCAGGACCAGGAACAGCAGTTTAGCAGCAGAGAACAAGACCAGGAACAGCAGAGAACAGGTCCAAGCAACAGCAGAGAACAGAACCAGGACCAGCAGAGAACAGGACTAGGAATAACAGCTTAGCAGCAGAGAGCAGGACCAGGAACAGCAGAGAACAGGCCCAGCAACAGCAGAGAACAGAACCAGGACCAGCAGAGAACAGGACTAGGGAATAACAGCTAGCAGCAGAGAGCAGGACCAGGAACAGCAGAGAACAGAACTAGGAACAAGAGAGAACAGAACCAGGACCAGCAGAGAACAGGTCCAGGAACAGCAGAGAACAGGTCCAGGAACAGCAGAGAACAGAACCAGAACAGCAGAGAACAGAATCAGGACCAGCAGAGAACAGGACCAGGAACAGCAGAGAACAGAATCAGGACCAGCAGAGAGCAGGACCAGGACCAGCAGAGAACAGACCAGGAACAGCAGAGAACAGGACCAGGAACAGCAGAGAACAGAATCAGGACCAGCAGAGAACAGGACCAGGAAAAGCAGAGAACAGGACCAGGAACAGCAGAGAGCAGGACCAGACCAGCAGAGAACAGGACCAGGACCAGCAGAGAACAGGTCCAGAAACAGCAGAGAACAGGACCAGGAACAGCAGAGAACAGGACCAGGAACAGTAGAGAGCAGGACCAGGACCAGCAGAGAACAGGACCAGGAACAGCAGAGTGCAGGACCAGGACCAGCAGAGAACAGGACCAGGAACAGCAGAGAGCAGGACCAGGACCAGCAGAGAACAGGACCAGGAACAGCAGAGAACAGGACCAGGACCAGCAGAGAACAGACCAGGACCAGCAGAGAACAGGACCAGGAACAGCAGAGAGCAGGACCAGGACCAGCAGAGAACAGGACCAGGAATAGCAGAGAGCAGGACCAGGACCAGCAGAACAAGGACCAGACCAGCAGAGAACAGGACCAGGAACAGCAGAGAGCAGGACCAGGAACAGCAGTGTAACAGCAGAGAGCAGGACCAAGAACAGCAGAGAGCAGGACCAAGAACAGCAGTGTAACAGCAGAGAGCAGGACCAGGAATAGCAGTGTACAGCAGAGAGCAGGACCAGGAACAGCAGTGTAACAGCAGAGAGCAGGACCAGGAATAGCAGTGTAACAGCAGAGAGCAGGACCAGGAACAGCAGTTTAGCAGCAGAGAACAAGACCAGAACAGCAGAGAACAGGTCCAGCAACAGCAGAGAACAGAACCAGGACCAGCAGAGAACAGGACTAGGAATAACAGCTTAGCAGCAGAGAGCAGGACCAGGAACAGCAGAGAACAGAACCAGGACCAGCAGAGAACAGGTCCAGGAACAGCAGAGAACAGGTCCAGGAACAGCAGAGAACAGAACCAGGAACAGCAGAGAACAGAATCAGGACCAGCAGAGAACAGGACCAGGAACAGCAGAGAACAGGACCAGGAACAGCAGAGAGCAGGACCAGGACCAGCAGAGAACAGGACCAGGAACAGCAGAGAACAGGACCAGGAACAGCAGAGAGCAGGACCAGGACCAGCAGAGAACAGGACCAGGAACAGCAGAGAACAGGACCAGGAACAGCAGAGAGCAGGACCAGGAACAGCAGAGAACAGAACCAGGAACAGCAGAGAACAGAATCAGACCAGCAGAGAACAACAGACCAGGAACAGCAGAGAGCAGGACCAGGACCAGCAGAGAACAGGACCAGGAATAGCAGAGAACAGGTCCAGGAACAGCAGAGTGCAGGACCAGGACCAGCAGAGAACAGGACCAGGAACAGTAGAGAGCAGGACCAGGAACAGCAGAGATCAGGACCAGGAACAGTAGAGAGCAGGACCGAACAGCAGTGTAGCAACAGAGAACATGACCAGGAACAGCAGGTAGCAGCAGAGAGCATGACCAGGAACAGCAGAGAGCAGGACCAGGAACAGCAGAGAGCAGGACCAAGAACAGCAGAGAGGACCAGGAACAGCAGAGAGCAGGACCAAGAACAGCAGAGAGCAGGACCAAGAACAGCAGAGAGCAGGACCAAGAACAGCAGAGAGCAGGACCAGGAACAGCAGAGCAGGACCAAGAACAGCAGTGTAGCAGCAGAGAGCATGACCAGGAACAGCAGAGAGCAGGACCAAGAACAGCAGTGTAACAGCAGAGAGCAGGACCAGGAACAGCAGTGTAGCAGCAGAGAGCAGGACCAAGAACAGCAGAGAGCAGGACCAAGAACAGCAGGTAACAGCAGAGAGCAGGACCAGGAACAGCAGAGAGCAGGACCAGGAAACAGCAGGTAGCAGCAGAGAGCATGACCAGGAATAGCAGAGAGCAGGACCAGGAACAGCAGAGAGCAGGACCAAGAACAGCAGAGAGCAGGACCAGGAACAGCAAGAGAGCAGGACCAAGAACAGCAGTGTAGCAGCAGAGAGCATGACCAGGAACAGCAGAGAGGGACCAAGAACAGCAGTGTAACAGCAGAGAGCAGGACCAGGAACAGCAGTGTAGCAGCAGAGAGCAGGACCAAGAACAGCAGAGAGCAGGACCAACAGCAGTGTAACAGCAGAGAGCAGGACCAGGAACAGCAGAGCAGGACCAGGAACAGCAGTGTAGCAGCAGAGAGCATGACCAGAACAGCAGAGAGCAGGACCAAGAACAGCAGTGTAACAGCAGAGAGCAGGACCAGGAACAGCAGAGAGCAGACCAGGAACAGCAGTGTAGCAGAGAGCATGACCAGGAACAGCAGAGAGCAGGACCAAGAACAGCAGAGAGCAGGACCAGAACAGCAGAGAGCAGGACCAAGAACAGCAGTGTAGCAGCAGAGAGCATGACCAGGAACAGCAGAGAGCAGGACCAAGAACAGCAGTGTAACAGCAGAGAGCAGGACCAGGAACAGCAGAGAGCAGGACCAGGAACAGCAGTGTAGCAGCAGAGAGCATGACCAGGAACAGCAGAGAGCAGGACCAAAGACAAAAGTGACAGCAGCAGCAGGAACAGGAACAGCAAGGACCAGGACCAGGAACAGCAGTGTAGCAGCAGAGAGCATGACCAGGAACAGCAGAGAGCAGGACCAAGAACAGCAGTGTAACAGAGAGCAGGACCAGGAACAGCAGTGTAACACAGAGAGCAGCACCAGGAACAACAGAGAGCAGGAACAGCAGTGTAGCAGCAGGGTGTGGAGAGAGGGTGAATGTGCAGCACCAGATGTGGTCGTCTAGAGGTCAAACCACTGAATGAGGGAATGATGTGCGCTGATTGGAAAGTTCAGTGTTCTGGGCCCAAAATAATCACCACCGTGTCACCCCATCCCACACACACACACACACACACACACACACACACACACACACACACACACACACACACACACACACACACACACACACACACACACACACACACACACACACACACACACACACACACCCCCAAGCTCACTTATGCCTCCCCCACCTGGTCTCTCCCTAAATGCCACACAACGTAAAACACCTAGAAAAAGTGCAAAAGAGGGCATGCAAGATTATTCTCTCCCTTCCTACTCCACATATCAAGAAGGCTCAACACACAGACCCTTTCGACTCTCACTGACCATCACCACGACCTCATCTGCAAATTTGTAAGAAGTTTACACCATCCTCGACACCCGGCCCTATCACCTGAGATCCCTAGTCCGAGAATTGCTGTTCGACACCACAACCGCATCCAGCCCATACGCACGAACTGATCGCTATAAGAACAGCCCAGTCCCAACCATTGTAAAAATTATCAATAACTTGTAATAAAACCAGTGTATTCACTCCCAGTAAACACTGCTCCCTACACTGTCACTATGTTGAAATGAACTGTAGTTTGTTTTTCCCCATCGAGTTATTATATGTCTTATTTGTGTCACTTATGTTACTTGTATATTATTTGTAATTCGAAACCCATTCCCAAATATATAACTGTATATTTTCAGCCTTCATGCCAAGCTCTTCAATAAACCGTTAATTATTATTATTATTATTATTATTACATAAAACATAGGATTACTGCTGTCAATGAGTGATGGTGGTAACAATCGTAATAGTGATGGTATTAATTATGGTGGTAGTAATGGTGGTACTGTACTAATGGAGGTGATCATGGTAGTAGCAATGGTGGTAATTATGATGGTAGATATCATGATCTGAACGCACTATCACCATCTCTTACTACTGTTGTTAAGTAAAGTGTCACTCCTAACTCCAATCCGGCCATACGACACCTCCACGACGGCCATGCGACACCTCCACGACTGCCATGCGACACCTCCACGACTGCCATACAACACCTCCACGACTGCCATACAACACCTCCACGACTGCCATACAACACCTCCACGACGGCCATTCAACACCCCGCCACTGGTAAAACAAATGACAGGCGGCACCAAGCAACTTCCTGTAGACGCAGCTGGTGAAAGTGAGGCTATATAAACCTGGACACTGGGAGGCACAAGTCAGTCTTGGTACCTGAGCGATCACGTGAACATCTGGCTCCTCTCTTTTAACTATTGCCCCTTCACGTGTCTTGTTTGTTTACCTTCTGCCGCAGGAACCCGCCAGTCATGACTTTCTGTAAGGTAAGGCAGGTAACACAGGAATGAAGGAAGTAACACAGGGAAGGTAGGAAGTAACACAGGGAAGGTAGGAAGTAACACAGGGAAGGAGGAAGTAACACAGGGAAGGAGGAAGACACAGGGAAGGTAGGAAGTAACACAGGGAAAGAGGAAGTAACACAGGAAGGAGGAAGACACAGGAAGGTAGGAAGCAACACAGGGTGTAGGGGTAACACAGGGAAGGAGGAAGAAACACGGGAAGGAGGAAGACACAGGGAAGGTAGGAAGTAACACAGGAAAGAGGAAGTAACACAGGAAGGAGGAAGACACAGGGAAGGTAGGAAGTAACATAGAGAAGGAGGAAGTAACACAGAATGAAGGAAAAACACAGGAAGGTAGGAAGTAACACAGGAAGGAGGAAGCAACAGGAAAGGAGGAAGAAACACAGATAACATAGAAGGTAGAAGTAAATACAGATTGGGTACTAACATAAGAGAGAGATGAAAGTAAATAAGGCGAAGAAAGTAGATTTAGAAATATGAGGTTAAAGTTATCTTAGACTAGTTGTTGCTAATTACTTTTAATTTTGTGCAATAACAGGTTAAGGTTAGGTTACTGCAATTTCTAGAATAGGTTAAGTTAGGTTAATTTAATTTTTAGAATAGGTTAAGGTTAGTTACTTTAATTTAGAATAGGTTGGTTAAGCACGATAGATAAGGTTAGGGTTTTGCTAGGTTATGCTAGGTTTAGTTAGGGTTAGGCAAGCTAGTTAGAGTTAGGTTGTGTTAGGTTAGGTTAGGTTTAGGTTAGAATGTTACCTGCATATTGGTATGTATCATTTAGTTATATGTATATTTATTGTATAATGTGTTGGCTAACCAGTAAATTCCCATCTCATTTATATCTCCCCTCCGCCTCACCCCACCCCTCTCCACACCCACCCTCCTCCAATCCACACTCCACCCACACCACACCACACCCCCTTCACTCCACTCCACACTCCCCCGCCCCTCCACACTCCCCCTCCCCCATCCTCCACTCCTCCCCTCCACACTCCTCTCCCTCCTCCACTCCCTCCTCCACCCCTTCCACTCCACTCCACACCACACCCCTCCACCCACTCCACACCCCCTCCACCCACCCACACTCACCTCCCTCCACCCACACCTCCATTCTCCTCCACACCACACCACACACTCCCTCCTCCACCTCACACTCCCATCCACCCACACCCTCCCCTCCACTCCACACCCTCTCCACCCACACCCAACCCTCCACACCCTACCATTCTCTCCATCCAAACCCCCCTGCCCCTCCCCCCCACACCTCCCTCGACTTCCCCCTCCACACCCCCCTCCTCCCACACCCCCATCCCTCCCCACACCCCCTCCCTCCACACTCCCTCCCCTCCACACTACCCTCCACAATCCCTCCTCCCTCTCCACCTCTCTCCTCCCACACTCCCCCTCCCCCTCCACACCCTCCCTCCCCCACTCCCCATCCCCCTCCCCACACCCCCCTCCCTCCCTCCACACTACCCTCCACACTTCCTCCTCCCACAGTCGCCTCCCTCCCACACGTCGCCTCCTTCCACACCCCATCCCCTCCACACCCCCCTCCTCCCCCTCCACACCCCCTCCACACCACCCTCCACACCCTCCCCCTCCCACAATCCCTCCTCCCCACAGTCGCCCCCTTCCCCACACTCCCATCCCCTCCACACCCCACATTCCCATATCATCCCACCCCCCTCCACACCCTCCCCACACCCCTCCCCCTCCACACCCTCCCCCTCCACACTCCCTCCCCACACCCCCCCTCTCCTCCACACTCCTCCACCTCCCTCCCCCACACCCTCCTCCCACACTCCCCCTTCCACACTCCCACACCCCCTCCACACCCTCTCCCTCCACACCCCCCCTCCCCCTCCACCGCCCCTCCCCCTCCACACCCTCCCCACACCTCCTCCCCACACCCTCCCTCCACACTGCCCTCCCCCCTCCACACCCCTTCCCCACACTCCCTCCTCCCACACTCCCCCTCCCCTCCACACCCCCTCCCTCCCACACCCCTCCACACCCTCTCCCTCCCACACCCCCTCCCCTTCCACACTCCCTCCCCCTCCCACACCCTCCACACCCTCTCCTCCCACACCCTCCCCCTCCACACTCCCTCCCTCCACACTCCCTTCCCACACTTTCCTCCCTCCCACTCTCCCCTCCACACCCCCCTCCTCCACATTCCCTCCCCCACACTTCCTCCCTCCCCACACCCCCTCCCCCTTCCACACCCCTCCCTCCCCACACCCTCCACACCCCTCTCCCTCCCCACACACTCCCCCCTCCCCCTCCACACCCTCCCACACTCCCCTCCACACCCCCTCCTCCCACACCCCCTCCACACCCCCCTCCCCATACCACACCCCCCTCCACACTGCCCTCCCTCCACCTGCCTTCCCACACTCTCCCACATTCCCCCTCCACACTCCTCCCTCTCCACAACCTCCCCCTCCCACAGTCCCCCCTCCCCTCCCACACCCCCTCCCCTCCACACCTCCCTCCCCTCCACACTCCCCTTCCACACCCTCCCCCCTCCCCACACCTCCCTCCCCAAACCCTCCTCCCACACCCCCTCCTCCACTCCCTCCCCCTCCCTCTCCACCCCCTCCTCCCACACTCCTCCCACACTCCCTCCCCTCCCACAACCTCCCTCCCACACTCCCTCCTCCACACTCCCTCCCACACCCCCTCCTCCCACAGTTTTCTCCCACACCTCCCTCCTCCTTTCACTCCTCCCTCCACACTCCCTCCCCTTCACTCCCCCCCTCCCACACCCCCCCTCCCCACACCCCTCCCTCCCTCACACCCCCTCCCCCCCACACAGTCCCTCCTCTCCACACCTCCCTCCCACACCCCACACACCCCCCTCCTCACACTCCCTCCCTCCCACACCCCCTCCCTCCCACACCCCTCCCTCCACACCCCCTCCCCCTCCACCCTCCCTCCCCCTCCACACCTCCCTCCCACAGTCCCTCCACACTCCCTCCTCCCACAGTCCCCCTCCCACCGCCCTCCTCCCACACCCTCCCTCCACACTCCCTCCCTCCACACTCCCTCCCTCCACGCTCTCCCTCCCCTTCACCACACACCCCCTCCCCACCCCACACTCCCCCCCTCCATACTCCCTCTTTCCCCCACTCCACACCTCTCCCCATCCACTCCACACAACCCTCCTCTCACCCCCCCCTCCACACCTCCTCCCCCTCCACACACCCCCACCTCTACCTCCCACTCCACACTCTTATACTCCACCCACACCCCCCTCTCTCCACACTCCACCTCCACACCCCCATTCTCTCCATTCCACACTTCCCTGCCTCTACTCCACACACCCTCCTCTAAACGCCCCCTCCCCCTACCCTCCAACACCCCTCTCCTCCACACTCTCTCCCTCCACACACCCTCCTCTCCACACCCCACCCACCCAACCATAGTCTCCCTACTCTCCCCCACCCACACTCCCCTTATACTCCACGCCACATCACCTCTTATCCAATCCACTCTACACCCCTTCCACTCTACACCCCCCTGCGCTCCCATCCAATCCATACCTTCCACCCACCCATACCCCTCCCTCCACACCCTCCACTCCACCCATACTCCTCCCGTCCAAACTCCCATCTCCTCATCTCCACTCTCCTCCCAATCCACACCCCTCCACCATTCTTCCCACCCTCCCTCACCCCATAAACTCCCCACCTCATCTACCCTATACCTCCTCCACTCCACACTCACCTCCCTCCACACCCTCCCCACCACCCACACCTCCCCTCCACCCCTCCCTTCCACTCCACACCCCCCTTCCACTCCACCCTCTCCCCACCACCCACCCCTTCCACCCACACCCTTCTCCTCCACTCCACAGTTCTCTCCTCTCCGTCCACACTTCACACCCCCATCTCCTCCACTCCACACCCTCTCCTCCACTCCACACCCTCCTGTCAACACTCTCTCCTTCCACACTCCTCCATTCCCTCCTTCCACCCCCACACTCCCCTTCCCCCCACTCTAATACCCTCCTCCACTCCACATTCCTCTCTCCACACCCCCTCCCTCCCCTACCTTTCACCCACACCTCCTCTCTCTTCCATTCCACATTCTCCTCCCCTCACCTCCAGTACACGTTCACATTCCTTCCCCACATTCCCTTCTCATGCAATTTCCCATCTTAATTTCCCCAACCACTCAGTCCTCTTCACCCCTTTCACCTCTCCCATCCTCCTGTTCCAGCCCTTATAAGGAAGCCCATTAATCTTGCTTAAACTCATTATTGCAATTAATCCCAATGTCAGTCTGTGCTTCTCTTAACCTCGCTAACTACTAATGGTAACTAAGCTCAATGTTAATATCTAATCTCAATCATTAATCCTGTTTTGTTTTACGTGTTTTAATTTGAATCAAAGGCCGTGTTAATCTAAATCTCTTTATCTGTGATCCTGTCATTACTTCCGTGCAAAACCTTACGGTACTGAGGACTGAGGACTCCATATCAGCTGATAATTCCCCCGAGGGAGACTAACGACTCCTGAAGGTGACTATGACGTCCTTGGCATTAACTGGGAGTCTCGGAGGTGACTGACAGCACTACAGTCGACGGCGGAAATTCTTGCAACTGATTCTGATCTTTCAGTTGACTCTCCTGGAATCGACCGAAATTTCTAAAAGCACTAGTAGTTACCGTGACCTCCAGGTGATGGTCCTGGAGGCGACTCTGACCTCCAGATATCGACTGAGTATTCTTGGTAATGTAGAGGATTCCTAGGCACTGAGTCACCCATGGTCTTCTGAACATCACTAAGACTGAAACACGCGGTGCTGAAATTATTTGTTGAACCATGAACATTATTTTTATCTTTGGACCGTGACCTTGGACAAAAGGCCTTGGATAACGACCCTGGACGACGACCCTGGATGACCCTGAACGACCCTGACTGAACAAAAAGGCCCTGTAATCAACTGACGAGCCCTGGAAATAACTAGGAAACCTAGTTGCCAACTTTAAGGATCCGTAGAAGTGACAACCCACCCTCAGTCAGGTCGTCTGCGCTATTTAACCTCGACTGACGCGACAGGTAACATCTCGTAATTTGACCTGACCAGACCTGACCTGAACTGACTGTAAGTACAACACTTTTCAGAGTCTTCTCTTTAGATCAGCAGTGTAGTGTGATGGGTCAGACATGGTGAGTTCATATACCGACCTTCATTTGTCCTGTGTGTGTCTTAAAACATCTTAATCTATCAGGGTTGCACCAAGTAATGGAAAATCAGTGAAAATGAAAGAAAGAAAAACGGGTGAGACAAAGAGAGAGCAACATCTTAGTTATTATTTTCTCTGCCATCTTATTATCAGTTATATTATTTCATTATTACTGTTATCATTGTTATTATTGTTGATTTTATTATTTTCGGTATTTAATTAGTATTTTTGTTGTTAGTATTAGTATTTGTATTATTGGTGCAGTCAATCATAATGTAACAGCACAACAGACAAACCAACCATTGCTCTCCCTGTCTTATATTTACTGCCCCCCCCTCGTAATTTAAATATGCCTCTTTAATAAATTATACTTGCTTAATATACTACTCTTTCTTGCTAAACTGTCTCGCTTACATTAACTGCTCCGCGCTGATAATTGTCCCCTTTTTAATACACTGCCCAGCTGCCTCCCATCCACTAAACTCGCTTCCTCTTTGATTAGGTGCTGCCTCTAATAAACTACCTGCATTCAATAAATTTTCACCGTCGCTTATAAGCTAACTTCTTCAATAAATTATCCCTCGTGCCCAATAAACTGCAACCCCCCCTTTAACCTCTCCACGACACAATATTCTCCCTGACCTCCACCCCCAGGGCGATGGTGATGGTGACGATGATGGTGATGATGGTGTACTTAGCTGACGCCCATCCAGTGCTAGACCCCTACAGCTATCCCCCGGTGAGTGTAGTGTGTTAATGGTGAGTGTTGTGAGTGTATGGTGAGAGTAGGAAGTGTTTGTTGAATGTACAGTCACTCATAAAAGTTCGTGGGGGTCCGTGTGTGTGTGTCAGTCCAGTCCCCACCTCTTTCTGGACGGCGAGTCTGTGTATAGCGATTTTGACAACGCGCACACGCACACACACGGCAGAACGGTGTCTTTTATGTAATCAGGTCAGACAGGATTATGTTTGTCAATCAGTTATTATCGTTAGTCATAATCAGGTGTTGTTGATAAGATATGAAGGTTAAAGCCCCTTCGATATCTAAGCATTAATTAAGCAGCAAGAGACGACGGTAGTGCAGGTCGAGGCGCATTCCAATCCCTTCGAAAATTTGCTTTGTATCCACATGAATAATATTGTAAACCGTTCAGAGTTCAACTCAGACAGTATCTACCATTAACGTAGTATAATATATCTTCTTCATTCCTCTATATATCCAACGCAAAACCATTCTGAATAATAGGTAATAAAATATTCGAAGTAGACGAAGACTCGAAACAATGAGCAGTGAAGCGGTTGGCCAACGTCGTAATGGAACAGTCCCGAGTCTAAGGCAACAGTCTACTGGAGGAAACACACCAAGCAGGTAAGAAACCCTTCATGTAATAACTAAAGGAACGTATTGAAGTAGGTCTATTGCCATATATTTGTAATGATATTATATGCCACCCCACTCCTCCTCCACCCTCCATCATATTGCTTCGTCTTCACATATCGAAGCGTCTCATGGTTCAGGTAACAGAGGACTGTGGTCATATTGTCCATGACAATTTTAACCCTCATATGCTGGCATGCAAATGTGTAAACATTATATGACATAACACAATATTTGCATGGACAAATATTCCTGTCAAACAACAGGTCTTAATTGAACACACACAGTTCCAACAGTTTCACCGTGTATGTTCGTGTGTGCGTTGTCCCGTGCCCAGAGACCTGTCGTCCAGAAAAGGGTGGGGATGGGAATCACCCACACACACGGAGACCCCACGAACTTTTATGAGTGACTGTACATTGAGTATAATGAATGTAAACAGGTGTAATTTACCTATAAGGGATAGCCTCACCTACCTGTCAATAATTCACGGGTCAGACTAATCACTTTGTTTACCTGTGCACTTGTTTCTTCCTCGTTTTATAAACACAGATGCCATACGACCTCCGATACGGCGTCCGAGACCAAAACTTCGGCAACGACTTCGGTCACGAGGAGCAGAACGACGGCAACAGTGTAAGTGGTCGTTACTACGTGCTCTTGCCTGACGGTCGACGACAAGTGGTGACCTACACGGCAGACCACCAGAGAGGCTATGTGGCCACCATCACCTACGAGAATGTGGGGTTCGCTTCCCAGGGCCCCGCCAACAGCTACAGCTAGAACACGTGTTGTTTAGGTCTCTTATTATCAAATTACACCTGTTTTATGGCACTTGTTATTTTACAGTCATCTCCGGCTCCTTGACACCTGTCCCCCAAGCTTCAAAATATACAGTTGAAAATATTACCTGTTTAACCCTTTCGTTATTAGTCATAAAGGTTTTAGTAATTGTTATTTAATGCCTCATACCTCAATATGTGTTCTTCCAATATTTAGACCACGCCATATGTAAACATTTTGTTATACTACTATATGTTTAAGGTATACTTGTTGTATAGTGTTTCTTACAGTCAGATTACCCCCCTCCTGAGACACCTGCTCTCACCTTTAGTATAAACAACTAGACCGAGTCGTATGTGTAGCTACTCTATATTATTAGGTTAACACATAACCAGCACCCCCCACCCCCCTTCCCCTTCCTCTAGACACCTGCGGCCCCTAACGCCAATTCAGAATACCTCCTTTTAAAGCTCTAAATGTCCCTTACTTTATCATACCTGTGACTTAGAGTGAGAGTTGAGAGAAATGTTTGATTCTCAATTTTGTTTTGTTTTGATAGCTTCCACGTGCTATTCCCTGGTGTTGATGGTTGGCTGTGTTGACAAGCCTCACCTGTCAATGGTAATTAGCTATATTGTTACCTGGATGGCTATAGTAACACCTGTCCACCCTATGTACTGTACTTAGAAACACGTGAGTAAATCATAGCTTAGATAGATAAATAGATAGACATTAGTTACATAGAGAGATTAATAAATAGATATATAGATTGATAGGTAGATATGCTCTGTGCTTCCCTGTGTTGTGATAAACTAGTCTAGTATAAAGTTGTTTTATCAGCTGCTAAATATTATTGTACCAGGTTAATGATGATGTGTTGTACCAATGACTGATAGTAAAAAAAAAATACACAATGACTCATTTTACTCGACCCTAGACGATCTATTTTACTGATGTACTCACTGACCTGTCGACTGACTTACTGGTATGTCGACTAACTCACTGATTTGTTGATTTACTCACTTCCTGTCGACTTTACTCATCGACTGTCAACTTAATGACTGTCGACGTAACTTACTGACCTCTCGATTACACTCATTGATTCATCGACCTAATTTATGGACTGTCGACTTTACACATTGACTTGTCGACTTTCCTGACTCGACTTCACAAACTAAATTGTTGATTTTCCTGACTGTCGACTTAACACATTAACTAGTGCACTTTAAACATTGACTGGAGATTTTATACATCAGATTATCGACTTAACTGACTTGTCGACTTTACACATTGACTTGTCGACTTTATTAACAGTAAATTTTACTGACTGTCGACTTTACTGACTGAGCTTTATTGAACGTCGAATTTACAGACAGTCGACTTTTCTGACTGTAGACTTTACTGGCTGTCGAATTTACTAACTGCTAACTTTACTGACTGTCGACTTTATCTAACCGTCAACTTTACTGACTGACGACTTTATCTAACCGTCAACTTTACTGACTGTCGACTTTATCTGATCGCCAACTTTACTAACTGTCGACTTTACTGGCTGTCGATTTTATCTGACTGTCAACTTTACTGACTGTCGACTTTACTCACTGTAGAATTTTCTGACTCACCTTTACTGACGATCTAATTTACTGACTGTCGACTTTACTGACTGGCGACTTTACTGACTGAGCTTTATTGACCGTCGACTTTACTGATAGTTGACTTCGATGACTGGAGACTTAACTGACTGTCGACGTTACTGACTGTCGACTTTACTGACTATCGACTTTACTGACGGTAGAACTTACTGACGGTAGAATTTACTGACTGTCGACTTTACTGACGAGAGAATTTACTGGCTGTCAACCTTGTTGGCTGTAGACGTTACTGACTGTCGAATTTACTGACTGTAAAATTTACTGACTGTCGACTTTACTGACCATAGAATTTACTGACTGTCAACTTTACTGACGGTAGAAATTGCTCTCTGTCGACTTAACTGACGGTAGAATTTATTGACTGTCAACCTTGTTGGCTGTAGACGTTACTGACTGTCGACTTTACTGACGGTAAAATTTACTGACTGTCGACTTTACTGACCATAGAATTTACTGACTGTCGACTTTACTGACGGTAGAATTTAATTACTCGCATTTACTGACTGTCGACTAACGTGACTGTTGAGTTTACCAACTGATTTATCGAATTTACTGTCAACCTTACACATAGTCTTATCGACTTTACTGACTGTCGACTTAGCTGAAATTCAACTTTACTGACAGTCTACTTTTCTGACTGTCGACCTAATAAAGGTAAACTTTACTGACAGTCGATTTTACTGACTGTCAACTCAGGTAAAAATCTACTTTATTGGTCATCAATTTCACTGACTATCGAATTTACTGACTGTCGACTTAGCTGGCTGTCTACTTTACTGATAGTCGACTTAGCTGACTGTCGACTTATCTGAAATTAAACTTTACTGGCAGTCTACTTTACTGACTGTCGACCTTATAAAAGTAGAATTTGCTGACTATCGACTTTATAAAAGTATAATTTACTGATTGTCGACCTTATAAAAGTAGACTTTACTGACTGTCGACTTTATCTGACCGCCAACTTTACTGACTGTCGACTTTACTGGCTATAGATTTTATCTGACCGTCAACTGTACTGACTGTCGACTTTATTGACTGGCGACTTTACTGACCGTCGACTTTACTGAAAGTTGACTTTACTGACTAGACTTAACTGACTGAAAACTTTACTGACAGTTAACTTCTATGACTGTAGACTTAACTGACTGTCGACTTCACTGACTATCGACTTTACTGACGGTAGAATTTACTCTGTCGACTTAGCTGACGGTAGAATTTATTGACTTGATTTTACTGACTGTCAACCTTCTTGGCTGTAGGCGTTACTGACTGTCGACCTAATAAAAGTAAACTTTACTGACAGTCAGTTTTACTGAGTGTCAACTCAGGTAAAAATCTACTTTATTGGTGATCGATTTCACTGACTGTCGAATTTACTGTGACGACTTAGCTGACTGTCTACTTTACTGATAGTCGACTTAGCTGATTGTCGACTTATCTAAAATTCAACTTTACTGACAGTCTACTTATCTGAAATTCAACTTTGCTGACAGTCTACTTTACTGACTTTCGAATTAATAAAAGTAGACTTTACTGACTGTCAACCTTATAAAAGTAGACTTTACTGACTGTTGACTTTACTGGCTGTCGATTTTACCTGACCGTCAACTTTACTGACCGTCAACTTTACTGACTCGACTTTACTGACTGGCGGCTTTACTGACCGTCGACTTTACTGAAAGTTGACTTCGATGACTGAAGACTTATCTGACTGTCGACTTTACTGACTATCGATTTTACTGACGGTAGAATTTACTGACTCGACTTTACTGAATGTAGAATTTACTCTCTGTCGATTTAACTGACGGTAGAATTTATTGACTTGATTTTACTGACTCTCAACCTTTTTGGTTGTAGACGTTACTGACTGTCGAATTTACTAACTCGACTTTACTGACGGTAGAATTTACTCACTGTCGACTTTACTGACAGTAGAATTTACTGACAGTCGATTTTACTGTAAACTTTACAGACTGTAGACTTTGCTGACTATGTGTACTTTACCTGACTCTCAACTCAGGTAAAAGTCTACTTTACTAGCGATCTATTTCACTGACTCGAATTTCTTGACTGTTGACTTTATTGATTCAACTTTACTGTCTGTCGATTTTACTGACTACAGACTTTGCTGACTGTGTATTTTACCTGACTGTCGACTTTGCTGACTGTGTATTTTACCTGACTGTCGACTTTGCTGTAAACTTTACAGACCATCGAGTTTACTGACTGTGAACTTAATTGACTGTCGACTTTAATAACTGTCGAATTTACTGACTGTCGACTTTTCTGACTCGATTTTACTGCCTGCGGACTTAGCTAACTGTCATCTTAGCTGACTGTCGACTTGCCTGACTCGACTTTACTGACTGTCGACTTGTCTGACTGCCATCTTAGCTGACTGGCGACTTTACTGATATTCAACCTCACTGACAGGCGACTTTACTGACTGTCGACTTATTGACTTGACTAATTGTTTATATACTTGTAGACTATATTTGAATAAGTATTCAATTACATACATACATACATACATACATACATACATACATACATACATACTGACCTTTGTGTTAACATAACCCCGCAATAATGTTGGTCACATCTTCTACTGACGTATTAATGATCATCCTGTGACCTTAAGTTTGACCTGTGACCTGAGGTGACCGCCACGCCGTCAACACTGTTTGTTTACCAATAAATTCTTAACACCTTTATAATGTGTGTCTTTCACCTGTGCCTCTCACCTGTGTTCATTATATATATACTGTACCTGTTACATGAAATACTGGGTCCCATAGGCAGTCTCCTGAGTCATCAGTACACACTGGGCCGTCACCACTTCTCCAGCAGTAAAGTTAGGAATCATTTACAGCCAGGTAGACTGGAGTTCGACCCAGCGACTCACACCCGGGGAGTCGAGTCGAGTCATGAATACAGCCAGACCCATTTTTTTTCGTCAGTCATAGAGAGTCAGTTGTGGTGGAAGGATATAATGAGTCTTGTTGAGGAGCGTCCTGCTCTCCCAGTCATCGGTGGCACAGATCGTCAAGTGATCTCAGCTCTGTGGGAAAAGGTTGTTGTTGAATTCCTCAGGTAAGATTATATATTGAAGTAATAGCCTAGTAAATAATAGCCAAATAATTCACATGAGTTTACTCACTCTTTACTAACCATACATTTACATACACAAAATTAAATCAGATTACGCCGCCGAATCCACAAAAGAACATGTAATATTGCGACAGAATTTGTGTCTATACTTCCTGACACCTGACAGGATACTGACAAACGTGAATGTTCTTGTCTCTCTTTGTGTGAACAGGAATGAGTCAGTTTCACTCGAGTCAAAAGACTATTGAACGAATTCGACTCGACTCGTCTGGTGTGTATGGAGCCTTTATGGTAGCAACGAACACTGTCAGCGTCTACAGGTGAATAATATCTTTTTACTTTTACTTTTATCCTCTTCACCACTGATCAGCTCGTTAGCCGCTTGGGCGATCGGTTACGTCTCTGTTACTCACTGTTGGCAAGTACTGGGCATGCACTGGCTCTTGAATGTATCTGAACCTGCTCCAGTGCTGGTCAAGTCTGGTCTTGAACGCGCTCACACTCGGTGCCGTCACCACACTGTCTGGCAGATTGTTCCAAGAGTTCACAACTCTCACTCCGAAAAAGTTACCCCTCACAGTTATCCGGACTTGCGGCTTCTTTAACCTTGAGCTGTGTCCCCTTGTGGGGCGAGCGTCCGCCAGCTCCAGGTATGGACACTCGACTGAGTAGTGCCCTCTGAGATGCTTGTACACCTCAATCAGGTCTCCCCTTGCCCGTGTGTAGTACAAGCTAGGCAAGTTCAGGCACTCCATTATCTCTGGGTAGCTGAGGTGCCGCAGTGCAGGCACCAATCTGGTGGCCCTCCTTTGGACATTTTCAATCAGCTGACAGTTCCTAGCTTATCTCGGGACCAGACGGGATGACAGTACTCCAGGCGGAGAAGCACTTCACTCTTGAAGATCATTACGAGGGACGGACCATCTAGATATCTGAACGACCTTCTTATACGACTTAATAACTTAGTTGCCTGGTTTACCTTCTTCTCGCAATGGCCCGAGCACTGCAGTTCTTTGTCAACGTACTGTACACATCTAGGTCCTTTTCACATTCCGTCTCATTTAATGCAATTTCTTCGTCACTTTGGGAGACATGATACGCCTCCTTACCGTTGGTACGTCCCAGGTGCATCTTCTTACATTTCGTGACATTGAAGCTCACAGAGATCCTTCTGCAGCTCTTCACAGTCCGCTTGGTTCTTAATTTCCCGAAATAACTCGGCGTCGTCACCAAACATTTGTATGGAGGAATGTACAGCTCCAGGCATGTCATTTATGAAGCAAACAAACAGCAGCGGGCCCAATACACTACCCTGTGGCACCCCGCTTGTTACGAATACAGATGATGATTTCGTGCCAGTAACCACCACACACTGCTTGCGATCATGTAGAAAGCCCTCTACCCACGCCAGGACATTTCCCCGAATCCCATACCCTTCCAGTTTAATTTTCAGTCTTTCATGGGGTACACTGTCAAAAGCCTGTTATAGAAATGAAAAGCAATTCATATTTATTTATACAATGAAAAGTGTTGTTACAAATATCATTGACACAGGTGAAACAGACATGCAAGACAATATACAATGAAGGTAAGAGTTCCCACCGCCCCCAGACAATGACCACAATATCCCATCTCCTCCCTGAGTCTCAACACCTTCTACAGCCCGTCATGTGGTCTAGTCCGCCCCCCCACACACACATCAACTTATACTATTCCTGACAAGTTTTAATCCCTAAACAATATCCAAACACCAATACGAATTTTGACTTAAAATTATAGAAATGCGAGGACAAGAACAGTAACTCTTATACTGTTGCGTTATTAATACTCTGTGTGTGTGTGTGTGTGTGTTTCTGTCTGTCTGTGTGTGTGTGTAATAATGATAATAATAATTAACGGTTTATTGAAAGAGCTTGGCAGCCAGAAGGCTGAAAATACACAGTTCCATAATTTCGGGAATGGGTTTCTTGATTTACAAATAATATACAAGTAACATAAGTGATACAAATATGATATATAATAACTAGGAGCTCAACCACAGGGGAGATGATCCTGTGGTCACTTCCCAGAGTGTAGTTCTCTCTCCTCGAATTGGAGCTCACAAAGAAGACTTGGAGGAAGTGACGCAACAACCAGGATATGGAGAAGGGAAACCCCGGAGTGGTAACTAAGACGAGTCATACTCGTGTCTCGTCCCTAGATGGCGTTGCTCGTGGTGCTGGGTAGGTAGATCAAGACAATAGATGGCGTGGTTCGTAGTGCTGGGTGGAGGGGTTCGTAACAATATGGATAGATATCTGGTTATTTGCTAGCGCTGAAATTAGGTCAAGTTAGGTTAGGTTAGGTTAGCTTGGGTTAGGTTAGGTTAGGTCACGTTTGGTTAAGTTAGGTTAAAATATTAAAAAAAAAAAGTCTATTGCTCTTTTAAATTCCTTGTAATTGTCTCCGGAAAATACCTGTTAACACCAGGTCATATTACACACCTGTGTCTCTATACCTAACACCTGTAAAAGACCTGTTAACACCAGGTCATATTACACACCTGTATCTCTCAACCTAACTCCTGTGAAAGACCTGTTAACACCAGGTCATATTACACACCTGTATCTCTCTACCTAACACCTGTGAAAGACCTGTTAACACCAGGTCATATTACACACCTGTATCTCTCAACCTAACACCTGTGAAAGACCTGTTAACACCAGGTCATATTACACACCTGTATCTCTCAATGGCTGGTTGAGCTTTACTCGGGAGTTCGTTGACCAGCCAATTGATCCTACCTTTGAGACGGATTGATTAAGGTGAGTAGTATGGTCTCTCTCTCTCTCTCTCTCTCTCTCTCTCTCTCTTTATCTATCTATCTATTTATCTATCTATCTATCTTCCTTCCTACAATACACTAGGCAACAAATTAAAAACAAAAATAATTCCGTTACATGGTTCAAAGCAGCTTTCTTCTGGTAATTTCGAGGCGCTCATTTCAAATCTGTCAATGAAAATTCTCTGGCCCGTACAGTTTATTTGGTGTATATATAAAAAATAAATCTTACAAATACAAAAACTGAAAAATACTATTTTTTCTGTTATTTCTGTTACTTTTTTCCTCGTCATCACTAAAATTCAATAAAGAATCAAAACAATCATAAGACGACACAAGAAATATTACATTAGCCACTGTAGGGCATTTGTTATTTTGTTTTATCCTTTTATGTGTTGTATTGTCCTCAGATTGTAAACACCAGCAATAGTCCCCCATCATGGCAGGATCCCATCTACCCTGGCACTTTTCCTCCACACGTCTAATGTCCTAATGAAATCGCTCTCCCGTGTTCATCACTAACCGCCCCCAGATTCTCAGGAAAAAAGTCCAAGTGCGAGTGTAGGAGGTGGACCTTCAGGGACATCCTGCATCCTAAGTTTTGTAGTTTTTTAGGAGTTCCTCTACAAGTTGGCGATAGTTTTCTTCCTTGTGTCCAAGAAACCCCTTGACTACAGATGTGAAGGATCTCCATGCGGCTAGTTCATTTTCCTTCAGTTTGTTTTCAAAGTCGTCATGACGAAGTAACTTTCTTATCTGTGGGCCAACAAAGATACCCTCTTTGACTTTAGCATCACTGAGCTGTGGAATTTTCCCCTCAAGTACACGAATCCATCACCTTGTTTGGCCACAGCCTTCACAAAACTCTTCATTTGTCCCAACTTGATGTGTTAAGGAGGTAGAAGTACACCGTTTGGGTCTACCAAGGGAGTATATTTAACGTTGCTTTTTCCTGGAACAAACTCTTCTCTCTTTGGCCAGTCCTTTGTGTTGTAGTGTTTGTCTGTTGCTCTGCTGTCCCATAAACACAGAAAACAGCAATATTTCGTAAACCCTCCTTGAAGGCCGAGCAGAAGGGCTATAACCTTCAAATAGCCACAGATCTGCCATCTATACTCCTTGTATTTAATAGCGGTCAGTATTTTCTCCATACTATCACACGTTTCCTTCAAACCTACAGAATGTGCTACTGGAATTGAGGGCTTCTGGTTCCCATTATGCAACAATACTTCTTTCAAACTACACTTGGAGGAATCTATAAAAGGCGCCTTTCCTTTGGGTCATGTTTTTCTCCCAGCTCTTACATCAGTACAGAGGGACTCCTGCATATTGTAACATGAAGATAATGTAATATTTCTTTTCCTAAAAACAGAAATTCTTGTCTGTTTCGCTAGCAAGTTCCATTCCTGCAGTCTTGATGCTAATAGTTCCGCCTGCAGTTTTGACAGACGGGGATCACGTACAAGATCATTAAGTGGTTCATTGGCAGTCTGGTCAATGAAAGGAGGATTATGGGATGATTCTGGGATTTCTTCCTCAATTTCCTCATCCGAAGTTGAGAGCTCGTCCAGGAAGGCCTTCTCCGTGAGGGACGGGCCTTATTGCCGAAGGTACATTTGGATACTCCATTTGGTGAATTAACACAGCCTCCGCGTTGTATTCTTTCCATTCTCCTGTTCAGTATTGCTAACCTTCCATTTAATATATCCCTACCAACACAACTACGTATCTTATATTCCTACACTACATATACTGTACATCATAAAAATGTTACGTGACTGA